ATGCCACACGTTCCTTGGTGCACCTCGTTGATCGCCTCTAACCCCTCTGCCTCGGTAAGGCATCTCAAATAGGCGCCGGAATGTGATCTCTTGTATAACACATCATCCACGATGGTGCAGCGAGCTGCCTTCCGACGAAGGCGCCAGGCATCCTTTGGGTTCTCCGGTACGACTCCTTGCATTAGGAAGAGGCGAATTGGTGCCATCCACCCTTCTTGCACTCCCGATAGAATGGAGGCCATTACCAACTCTTCGTGTGGGACTTCTTTTGCCACGATCACCGTCCGACTCTCCTCAAAGTCTAAAGCCGTAGCCAACTTAGACAAAGCGTCTGCATGAGCATTCTCCTCTCTCGGGACATGCGTAAAAGTTACCTCTCGAAACCACGCGCACCTCCTCCGCACGGACTGCACATAGGCGCATAGAGCCTCCTCTTTTACTTCGTAAACTTCGTTCAGCTGATTGACGACCAGCGCTGAGTCAGTTTTCACATTAACCCTTTGGGCGCCCAGCTCCCTCGCATAATGAAGTCCGGCCAGAACAGCCTCGTACTCAGCCGCATTGTTCGTTTTGAGGGTCGCAAAACGAAGCGCAATTTCATGAAGGGCGCCTAAAGGGCTAACGAGCACCATGCCGGCCCCGGCGCCTGCCCGGCTTGCTGCTCCATCCACATGTACTTGCCAGCATTCCTCGATGCCCGGCCCTCCGTCGGCCACACCTTCGGCCATGAAGTCTGCCAACACTTGAGCTTTAACAGCTGGACGGGGCGCGTAACTTATATCAAACTCACTTAACTGCACGGCCCACTTCACCAGGCGCCCAGACACATCCATTGATCCAAGAACCGTCCTTAGTGGCAAGTTGGTGAGCACCACGATGCTGTGAGCCTGAAAATAAGGTCTGAGCTTGTTCGCGGCCATTACTACCGCCAAAGCCGCCTTCTCTATGGGCGCATATCGCGTCTCATGGCCAACCATGGTGCGGCTGACGTAATACACCGGTCGCTCTTCATTCGTTAGCGAGTCTTTGGATATCAGTACAGCGCTCACAGCGATGTGGGACACCGCTATGTACAAGTATAGCACTTCCTTGGCTCTAGGCGCGGTCATTACCGTAGGCGCTATGAGTAGCCACTTCAATTCTTCAAACGCCTTGTTGCATTCTTCTGTCCATCGAAACTTGGTGGCCTTTTTCAATACCTTGAAGAACGGGGCGCCCCGGTCCGAGGCTCGCGGAATGAACCGTCCCAACGCCGCCAGCCTTCCCGTCAACACTTGCACTTCTTTCGGCGTTCTCAGGGGCGCCAAGTTCTTGATGGCCTCCACCTGCCTGGGATTGGCCTCAATCCCCCTTTTGGTTATCATGAAACCCAAGAACTTTTCCGCCTCCGCAAAGAACACACACTTTTTGGGGTTAAGCCTCAAATTGAATCGGCGCATTGTCTCGAAAGTTTCTCGGAGGTCCAGGATATGATCTAGGCGCCTCTTGCTCTTCACTATCAAATCATCAACATATGCTTCCACGTTTCTCCCTATCTGCTCGCGGAAGACTTGGTTTACCATACGTTGGTAAGTGGCGCCTGCATTCTTTAAACCAAATGCCATGACACGATAGCAAAAGTTGCCAAAAGGTGTCATGAAGGCCGTTTTCGCCCGGTCCTCCTCTACCATAGGGATCTGATGATAGCCTGAAAACATGTCCAAGAAACTGAGCGCTTCGTGATACGCCGTCGCATCTACCAGCAAGTCGATGCGTGGCATAGGGTAAGCATCCGTCGGGCACGCCCGGTTGAGGTTAGTAAAGTCCACGCACATCCTCCAATCTCCCGACGGCTTTGGGACAAACACTACATTGGAGAGCCACGTAATGTACCTTGCCTCCTCCACAAACCCCGCTTCTCGCAACCTATCAACTTCATGCCGGAGCGCCTCTTCTTTCTCGGGGGTCAAGTTTCGTCGCTTTTGTTGCACCGGCCTTTTACCTTCTTCCACTGCCAGCCTATGTGCCGCAACTTCGGGGGACACTCCGGGCATATCCCGAGCGCTCCATGCAAACAATTCTCCGAATTCTCGCAGTAACTCAATTAAGGGCGCTCGCATAGCCTCTGGCGCCTGTGATGATATTCGTATTACCTGGTCTGGGCGCCCCTCGTCCAAGATCACAGCCATCTCATCATCTACTGGCTCTGCCCTGGGCGCCTCCTCTGGACGGATGTCTACGATATTCAGTCTATGCTTCCGACCTCGATTCTTTGAGTCCTCTTCTCTTGCATATCGCGGGACATTCCTTCCTCGCGAGACGCCTACGCCTTGAGGAGCGACGAACTTCAGCGTCTGATGGCACGTCGAGGCTACCCCATTGAATTGCGCCAAAAGAGGTCGGCCAAGTATCACATTGTATGGCGAGGGACAGTCAACGATGCCAAACTCCACCGCATGCGTTACGCAATGCGCTTCGTCCCCCAGAGTCACAGGGAGGCGTACGCGCCCGATGACTTGAGCTGGTGCCCCCGAGAATCCGACCAACACCGAATTTGAGGGACGCACCAACTCAGGTGCCAGCTGCATTCGTTCGAAGGTGCTCTTGAAGAGGACATCCATAGAGCTGCCTGTGTCTACCAACATTCTCTTCACTTTACATCCGGCTATCACCCCTTGTATCTCAAGAGCCTCTTCCGACGGGACTTGGCACGCCTCATCCGGTTCCTGATTAAAGTGGATGTGCACGGCTTCCCTGGCTTCAAGCGACGCAGCTCGCAGGCGCCTTTCTCTCTCCAACTTCTCTCTCAAGTCAAGGGTACCCGTTATGGACTCGACTGTAAGCCTTACACGACTAGGTTCTCCCTCTTGATCTAACCTCAAACGGAGGTGGCGGAATAACAGGCGCCGGCTCAGTTTCTGGTTCTTTAGGCGCTTCTCTGACCGTGGGCAGCACCACGGTTTGGGCTCTTGGTTCTTCGGGCGCCCTCCTCTGTTCCGGCACCTGCCTCGTCACATAGGTTCGATGCGTCCTGTCTTCCATCCTTCTGACGAAGTCGTTGAGCATGCCCTTGTCAGCTAAAGTTTGTAGTTCGGACTTCAGTTGGTAACAATCGGCCGTGTGATGCCCCTTGTCGCGATGGAAGTCACAATATCTGTCAAGATTTTTTTCGTTAGGCTGGCCACGCATGGGCCCCGGCCACCTTATATGGTAGCCCCTATCCTTCACATATTGTAGCACATTCTTGAGGGTATCATTGTACTCTGTAAAATTCGCAGCACTCCTCGGCACAGGGCGTGGCGCCTCTGGTCTCCTTGGTGGGACGAAATTTCCGGGACCTGGTCTGGGCGCCTGCCTCACCTCGCCTTCATCACCTCTTAGGCGCCTCTTTTCAGCCCTTCGCGCCGCCAAAGTTTCTTCCAACATAATCACCTTTTGTACTCTTCGGTCAAGGTCTTCGGTGGATACTACATCTCGCTTGGACAGGACCCGACATAGCTCTTCACTTGAGGTGCAGGCATCCAAGCAGACCCCCAATACTGCTGGTTGCACATCTTTGACCGCCATGGCCACCGAGATCCATCGATCATAAAATTCTCTGAGCGCCTCACCTTCCCTCTGTTTGACTTTAAACAACGCCCCTATGGTCAATGTCCGACGCTTTCGGCTTGCAAACTTGGACAAAAACAACTCAGCAAATTCTTCGAAACATTCTATGCGCCCCTCCTCAATCTGGTGGTACCAATCCAGGACCACGCCTGCGAATGTGGATGGAAACACCTTGCACAATGTGGCGTCGGAGCTGTTATAGAGCTGCATCTTAGTAAAGTAGCTATTCAGGTGGTCTTCCGGGTCAGCCACCCCATCATAACTCGGCAACGGGGGGATCGTAGTTCCCGCCGGCTCCATTAGGATGCGCCGCGCCAGAGGCTGCCGAACACCAAACCTTCGAGCAATCCTCCTAGGCGCCCATACGTCCTCTGGGCCTGTTTGCGCGGCTCGATATTTAGTCTCCCCTCTCGTGGGCGCCCAAACGCGTCCTGCCCCTGCTCGGAGGCATACGGCGGTCCGTATTGCAGAGACTCCGAATCTTCCCCCATTCTTTCCCGCTTTCTCGCCCCTGGGCTGTACATCATCACATCTTCACTTCGTTCCCCTTCCAACTCCCTCTTGAGCGCCGCTATGGCCCGATCTTGGTCGGCTATGATTCGAAACAACTCTCTTTTCGTCAAAGACTCGCCATCATCAGCGGACAGGCGCCTAGGGCTTCCTTGTCCCTCCCCATCCATGCTCCTCTCTTGACTCAGTTGACGCTCGCCTCCTTCGTGGTCCGAGTTCCCCGACCTGGAATTGCCTTCTCCATCGTTCCCTTCGTTCATGTTTTCCATGCGCCTACCGTTTTCGTGCGCCTTCGCCCCCTATCTGGCGCGCCAATTGTTTGTGCCAAGATACCACCGAACGCTTATCCTTCACCTTTCCATTTTTCCGTCACCCGGGCGCCTAGAACCTGCACCCACAAGCGCCTAAGGGCCTTGGCCGACCCGTTAGCACTCCGAAGCTCAAGTCAGTGCCCCTCTCTAGAGAGATAAGTGCTGGAGAGTATTTTTGTGAGAGAAGTCAACCTGCGTAAATGCTATCGTCTGCCCCTATTTATACTCACCGAACCCGAGGTTGATCTCCGCCACGTCACTTCCCTCATTCAATGCTCTGCGCCCTCAGACAGCTAACCGCCCTGTCAGGCTCCTGACACCTGACTGGCATTCCACAGCTCTGCCAGGCTCCTGACACACGACAGGCGCCCGCAGGCCGTGGTCCACCATCCAGCTGGTCGCCACCTGGCTTTTGGTGCTCTGTGTGACAGCTAACCGCCCTGTCAGACTCCTGACACCTGACAGGCGCCCCAGGCCGTGGTCCACCAGCCGGTTGGCCGCCACCTGGCTCTTGGTATTTTACTCTTTTGGGCTTTGTCCCCTAGCTCGCTGGGTAATACCCCCAACAAAACATAAATAAAATTAATAATTGCACATGAGTCGGGTATTAGATTCACTTAACGATACTTTCTTATCTTTTCTTCAGCTGAATCATTGAGCGGTACAACGCCAAAAGGCAACACAAGTGAAAGTACACACGACACATGGACCAACCAACCTGCCAAACGATAAAGAAGAATCCATTTGAAGAACATTTCACAAGAGCCAATCACTCATCAATACCACATTACAATTGCATGCAATTTATGGATAGTGTTTGTAATGGAAGAATACAAATCCTCTCTTTTCTTTATCTATTCTCTTTACAAAGCATTGATTCTCTTTTAGAGATGGATTGAGCAAAGCATGGATTCTGTTTCTGTCTGTGAAGCTCCAACCTCCAACTGAATTTTCCTTGTGCAGTAAGGATTTTTTTTTACACATGTATGTATATTATATATGTATGTGCAAGGTAAATGTGCAAGTTTGAGAAAAGGGAAGAGCTTAAATGTGAAAGAAAGGTTTTTAAAAGTAATAATGTATCTAACTTATTTTTGATGGGAAGTTGGCATTTTCAGACCCTTGTTGTGGAGCAATGGAGACTTCAGCATCTTGTAGAGTACTGTAAATTGTCTCCTGATGATCATCTTCTTGGGGATGGGATAATGTGGTCACATTGAAACTGTCCAAACTGTGGTTGCTGTTATTAGTGTTATTCATTTTCTGTTGTTGATCAAACATCATCTTCAGCTGCTTTCCTTGCTCTTCAATCCTCAACTGCAAATTTCTTTGAATCTGTAGTACCCAAAAAGAAAAAGAAAAAAAAACATAATAGTCATTTATAAGCAGGTGTACAAGCCTAAGATTCTTATTTGTTACTACCTCCAGTTGTTCATGAAGACGCCTCTGAACATCTAGTTGTAGTTGAAGTGCCTCCCGGATTTGAAATCCACTGCAACACCATTATTAAGTACAATCTGATCACTGTAGGTACTTGAAAGAACAGATCAGAAGATAAAACAAGAGAGGAAACGGGTCTTAAAACTGAAACCAACATGATAACAAGGGATGAGAGAAGAGTCAAAGAGTGAGTTCTTTTTGGTTTAGTTTCAAGTTATAAGCTTGGCTTATAGGGATTGTTATAAACCAGAAGGAAACCCAGAAAGAGGAGCTGGAAATCGATTTGAGGCGTACGCTTTCATGTCAAGCTGTGATACATCATTAATGCAACTTCTTGTTTCAGCCTTTCCTGCAATACCATCACCAACTTCCTCAAAGTAATTCTCAATTGGATGCATTATGACCCTTTTGTTTCTTCTTGTTTTGCTGTTCTGGGAAATAACCATATTCCCCTTTCTTGTTTTGTTCCCATAAAACAAATGGGTGGGGTTAACATTTCTTTTCTTTTCTTGTTGATGTTCATAGGACAACTGGGTCTCATTGTCAATCACAAGATAGCAGGAAAAAGTTAAAATCCATTCAAATGAGATGTGGCAGGCTTAGTTTGGGAAATTTCACCTTCAGAAGATTCTGGCATGTACTTGGCAATCCTGTACTTCTGCAGATGACTTTTGACATGGAAGATGGTGAGTCCTTCTGAATCCATCAGCTTCAGAATGGCCTTGGGAGTTGCTTCTGCAAATCAATCGATCACCAATGTCGTTTTCTCAGCTTTTTCTTCAAACAAACTAACAACCACACAACATTTCAGTTCCAAAAGTCACTCACTTTCTGCACCTCCAAGGCGATTGACACACTCAACAAACTTCTCATGGAGAGCTTGAGTCCATCGAATCCGGGTCTTATTCGATAAACCTGCCGCCCCAGAACCACCTCCAGCTGAACCATACGACGATGATGATCCTGGAGACAGCTTCTCGTGCCTCCCTCCACCAAATCCCATCTGCGAATATGGCACACCAACCTGCAGCTGTAGTAGTAGTAACAATTTACACAAACCCAAGAATCAAAACCACTACCCAATTGAAGCAATTTCACAAAAAAAAACCCACCAACCAACTAACTAATTTTACATTGTGATCCTGATTTCCCTGGAAAGGAACCAGCTGATGCTGCTGCTGCTGAGCCCCCATCTGAAGCTGCTTGTAAGACAAACTTCTCTGAAAGCCAGGTTTGTAGTCAATAAGCTGCTGCTGCTGATGCAGCTGATTACTGGTGAAGAATTGCGATTTGGCCATATCCTGAAACGAGGAGGCGCGGTGCAGCAGCTTGAGCTCCTGCCGCTGCTCCCCTGAAGTGATACTGGAAGAAGTAGGGGAGGAAAAGCTCTGGCGGCCGATGATGGCGTCGGAATCCTGGTACGATCTCGAGTAGCGATTGCAATCCTGATAATCCGGCAGCCCCATCATGTACCTCTCCGTCGCGTAGAAAGCCGACGCCGGCGACTCGAACCTGCTCACCATGCTGCTCGACGCCTTATTACTACTACTTTCATGACTCTGGCTCCTACCCTCTTCAGCCGCCGCCGCCGCCGCCGCCTCGATCATCGCCGATTCCAGCCGAACCCCCCAAGTTTCCTGCTGCCCGAGGAACAGATTGTTGCTGTGAGGGCCGAACTCTGCTGTCCTGTCCTGGAAATCGATATTGGGGGAGTTCATCATTTCACAGAAAGACGATTAGCTAGTTTAGTGAGCATTAGAAGAAGTTTCGGAGTGTGTCAGGAATTGGGTTTCCCCCCCATTGATGGTATTTAACGGTTGATCAGTGGAGATTCTTGTAACCCAAAAGAAAGGAAGGGAGAAAAAGTGGGATGCAGATTTTGCTCAGATGAGAGAATGAGAGAATTATGATGAATTGAACATATTCGTCTGGAGAGGCTTGAAGGAGAAGATATAAGTGTGGTGGAATGAACGAGGGTTGGGGGGGAAATGGGGTTGTTTTCAGTTATTTATTTATCCATGGAAAGGATTGGAAGGAATGGGACAGTGATGATCATAGACATTAACGAAGGGGGAAGAGGACAAAAAATGTTCTTAAGAATAAACAAACAAAAAGGCCGCCAGTCAATCGGGTTTTGTCGTCGAGTGGAGGGAAAAAAAAAAGTGGTGGAAAAAGAGAGGCGTCGAGCGAGCGGGCGAAGAAAATGTAATAATTAATAAATGCCAAAATGGAATGAGGGGATTTGGAGGGCGATTGGGCAAACTGGAGCACTTACTATTTTGTGGGAAAAGATTGGGGAGAATAAGGCTTGTTATGTTAGCATCTGATTGTGTGGCTTAATGCGACATTAGCATAGATTCATAATCATAGCCCTCCAAAAATCTGGCATTTTATTCCCTTTGATGGATAAACAAGTGAAGAAGAATGAGAGGAAGGCCAAACACTATTTTGCCAAAACCCAAAACAACACTTTCATCAATAATTTTATTGGGGGAATAAAAGTTAATATTTTCATATGAGATTTTACCAAAAAAATTTTTAACATCATTAACCAATCTTCTCACAATCGCAATCAACGAATACGAAAAACAACAAGACAAGGGATTTTACGTGGTATCCCCGACGATTTGTCAGGACTAATCCACGGGGAGAGATGAACCTCTCTCCGTCTGCAGCCGATATTATTAATCGTTTGTTACCCTGGCCGAACGGCCTACAATAGCCTTATATATGCCATCATTGACACGGTTTTTACTAGGGCAAAATGGAAAAGAACAAGTCTTAACAGCCCTTGTTTCACAAGGCAGTGATCCGCCCATCACGTGAGCACAAGTGGGCTTGGGCTGCGGGTCACGGTCCAAATACGCCCCCACAAGCTGAGCGGTGAAGATCACGAACGTTCAGCTTGGGCAAGAGAAACCGGAAATTTTCAGCACCCAATCCCTTGGTAAAGAGATCAGCCAGTTGAAGATAAGAACTGATCTTGAGAGGAAGAATGTCACCAGAAACAACCCTCTCTTGCACGAAATAGCAAATCCATCTCAACATGCTTCGTCCGTCATGAAATACCGGATTGGAAGCAATGTGCAGGGCTATCTGATTATCAAAATGAAGAGGTGTATGACGTAGCTGAGCAGCCAAAGAAGCTCACTAACCGTACTGGCCATGGCGCGATACTCAGCCTCTACAGAAGACCGCGCCACTACCTTCTGCTGCTTAGTGCGCCATGAAACAAGGGGTCGAACCAAGGGAGATAAAGAAACTTGCGGTAGACCGACGAGTGGATTGACAACCACCTCAAATCTGCATCACAGTATGCAACGAGATCTAGGGTATATTATCTGAAGGAAAAATACTGACCTTGGCCTGGAGAAGTCTTCAGGTACAACAAGCTGCGCGCATCCCAGCATCCATGTGAGCCTGTGTAGGTGCATGGAAAGAACGACTAAGGATATTCACACCATAAGTGATATCCGGACGTGACACCGTCAGTCAGATAGAGCTAAGCGCCCAATCTCCGTGTATTCTCAGTTATAGCTAGTAAACGGGGAAAGCCATGCATTTGCATGCACCGACCAACACAATTAATAATAATAAATATGCTGTACTGTACGGCCGTCTCTGGAAATTTGGCGCTAGCGGGTATCTGCCTCCACACGTGTGGGATCCAATAATTACCGTCTCCGGTAATTAAATTTCGGCAATTTTTTGTCGAACGACACATTCATCGCAACTCTGCCGGTCTGTTTCCAGTTCATCTTGTATATCGTCGTTGGTCAGGCCGTCACTGTCTCTTGAATTAATTAGTTAATTAATTAATAACATTACAATGCCTGTGAAAATGACGAATAGATCACCTGGCATTTTCCATTGGCGTGATGATCCCGAGACTGGGATGAAAAAAAATATATAGAAAGGGAGTGAAGAGTCGTCGATGGTTGCCAATCACAATCAAGAAGGGGAAGGCGTGCAAATCCAGGGTTAATGCTGCATTTTAATTCTTTCCTCTTAAAACTACTGAGCTGGGGGCGGCTGGTGCTGTAGTGTAGTGTAAATTTAATTTAGGGGGGGTGTGATTAATGGGTATATCGTTAAATCGATTATGAGTTAGCGATGTGGTTATCGATAGACTTGAATCGGCTTGCGTTGTAACCTATAATCATATAATTGGTTATCGCGCGCGGTTAACCAACAACAACGGAAACAATCTCCCAAACAAACTCTGGAACTTCGCATAAACAATCTCCGTCGCTCCAGGTGCCTGCCATCTTCTATCTTTCTTCAATTTCCTCCTAGTGTGAATCCTGGAATTGAAAGAGGTAAAGAGGACCTCCGATTTTGCGATTGAATTGTAAGATTGTATATTTGGATTGGGAAGATCAGATGGCTTCTGCTGGACGAAAGATTGAAAAAATTCAACCAGTAACCTGTTATACGATTATCGGTTAACCGTCTAAATTAAACTATGTGATGCACGATTAATCTAAATTGATCAATGATTAACCGATAAGCGAATAAAATAATTACGGTTATAACCAAACTCAACTGACTAACAGGTCTAGACACTACTTCCACTTCTTGCAATTTGTTCTTTCGCTGGCATAAACGATTCAAGGCACACAGAAAAGCAAATGAGTAGCCTATACACAGTCCAGCAAGAGCAACCAACACCTAAAAAAAAGACAATACGCCCACCAACTTAATTAACTTAATTATTCCCAGTAAAAAAAAGTAACTTTAATTATTTTTTTTACAAAAGAAAATCATATATTGAATTTCTATAATAGGCACTTATATCGTGGACTTAAGCCAAGCCAGAAAATCAAAAAAACGACTCGTAGTCGGATACAATGAAAGAGTCTTTCTAGCCACTAAATAGGCTACCCTATCGCTTTGCCGACCTACAAATCGCACACTAAAACCAATATGATTCACGAAATACTGCACGACCTGCTCGAGAATGGCCCCCATCCGATTATTCCGAGTATCAGACCGATTGATCTTCTCAATGACCACTTTGGCATCGCCTTCAAACCTCGTCTCGTAAATCCCTGGCTTAGACACCAAAAAATAGCCTCCTGAAAAACAAGCAGCTCAACAACCATAGGATCATCAATCTCCAGAAAATGCACTCCTTTAGCCAATCGGACTTATGATGAGTAGATTGTCGTATTGGGCTTTAGGGGTAGAGGGTCGTATTGGGTTTCTTGTGGGTTTGGGTCTTGGTTGGCAAGGAGAGGGGTAGCCGAGTAGGAATACGAGTTCGGCTAGTATTAGGTTTACGTATTAGGTTTATTTCTTATATAAATATTTATGTTCGACATTAATTCCGGGTATCAATCAATAAAGTTAAGGTTTATCGACACCAACGTCGTTCTCCCGCTCGTGAGTTTCGAGCAAAACCCTAAAACAGAGGGAATACGTTCATCAACTTACCCCACCTTGATTCAGAATAATCTTCCCACCTGCAAAATGGGATCCACTTTTATTTGCCGCATTCATCATAACGAGTTCGGATCCACAACACCCAAAGGCTGTGGCAGTGGGATGGAAGTCTCGGATCTTAATTAATTCCTCTCATGTAAGTTTGGGATCTTAATTACCATGCTAATCAGGGCCACGTCTACGCCGGTTCGTCTACTAACATTTATCTACTTTTTGATGCGGCTCTCTCGAAATGACAGCACACTGCTCCAGCCACCCAGCATAATTGGGCTATTGGTGCTGCAGATTCAAGCGTTTGTAGGCTAGTAGCGAAGCCCAACCATAGATCATTCCTGGGCCTTATTCTGTAGCTCTGGTGGGAGGCCTGATCAAAGTATTGTGGGCTTCTGAAAGCCCAAACCTGCTCAATGTTCATAAGCTTCGGCTTCATAAAACTTAAAGACCTTATCAGCTCGCAGGAGGAAACAAGAACCTTAATTAGTCAATGACGATGGATAGCCGAGGTCGGAAACTTGGGTCAGACATGTGCTTTTGATCCTGTAAAAATGTGCTTGATCTTGTCTTCTTTTTTTTTTATCCTGTCTGACGCTCTCAAATTGGGGCGGGTTGAGTCGACGGGTTGAATTAAATCGATGAACAAAAATGATCCTTTTAAAATATTTTGGCATGGTTTAAGAAATCCTACCGCGTACCAATCGATTTGATCAGAAATATCAAATACCAGGATTCTAAAAACAGTAGGGTGGTTTTAGCAATACAAAACGAGTGAACAACGATATTATTAATACAAAATACTCTACCACTAACTTTTCTTTACAATTCAGTACCTAAATCTTTTTTTCTTTACAAATATAACATAAATTGATGGTAAATTACGTGTTAGTACCTGTGTATTTCCCCCCTTGCATTATAGTATCTGAAATTTTTAAAATCTTACATACAAATCCAATCTATTGGTATGAAAGAATTTCAAAAACCACTAGTTACTAGGGGTGAAAGCTTGTCCCTGAAGACCCACTGACCCGTCCCGACCCTTAGGGTCGGGACGGGTCAGTTTGTCTATAGGGACAGATTAGGGACGGGTCATTTGTTGACCCTGTAAGGGCCGGGACGGGTCGGGACAACTTAGGGACGGGTCACGTTTTGACCCTGTGAACCTTAGCAACAACAAATATCTCATACTTCATTGGACCTTTTTGTAAAGTTTTAAAAGTTTAGGTACTAATTTGTAAAAATAAAAAAAATTGGGTACCAAAACGTAATTTTACCATCAAAATTTATGGACTTATTTGTAAAAAAATAAAATTTAGGTACTAAATTGTAAGAAAAAATAATTTTGGGTACCAAAACGTAATTTGTAAAAAAGTAGTGTGTTGATTAGGGTCGACCCACTGACCCGGCCCGTCCCGTCCCGTCCCAACCCTTGAGGGTCAGACAGGGTCAAGAA